TCTATACCACACTTAAGAACTACTAAATAAGGTCAACATGAACTAAGATGTTCTGGTCTTATCAAACCTCTTTCAGTATCTTCTTCAACACAATTAAAAATACTTGATTCTACTCTTAACCAAGAGATAGTAACCCTTGCAGATGTGATGGAACATCAACCCTCACAAGTGAATGATAGAGGTCTCCCTTTAACTCCCATTAATCTTACCCAGCATTCCAAGGATTCATAACTTCCCCTCCTCCTCTAGAAGGCAGGAATAAAATATAAATTTTAATCGGAGTTACTTTAAGAGACATATCAGTCTTACATATGTTTCATTCACTCACTAAAGAAATAAAAACATTTTATTTTGAGCAAAGCAGGGAATGGATCGCTAGCTGGCTGAGAACAGATAAATAAATTGGTATTTAAGTAAGGGAATAAATAAATACATAAATAACTCATCTCTAATGCTCTTTATTACATAACTGACAGACAAAATAAGAGTATAATTCATCCCTAAGCTCTCTTATTGTTCATTTTTTTAACATATGAACTGTATAATTTATATCCAGAACCGAATATATCACGTTTCAGGATTATCCTACATTTATTTAGTATAATCAAAATCCTTATAAACTCCATTAATATCTTACTTTTTTTTTAATTTCTTCTTTTTTCTTTGAGCTCTTTTTCATGATGGCTCTTTCAGTCCCACTTTCTAAGCAAATAAGAAATATTTTTAAGAATGATACACTACTGAAAGAAAACAACTATTAAGATACTTGAGAAAAAGAATGTTATTTAAATTTTTTAATTTAACTGAAAACTGAAGTATGCTCTTACTTTTAGTATATAGTAGCTGATCACCTTTAGTATTTAACAGAAATTCTGGTTCTGCAATTAGACATGTAATAGAAGAGGTATAATTATTGAAAAAGAGAAGACAAAATTACCTTGTTTGTAGAGGACAGGTTTTTACATGTAGAAAAACAAAGATCAAAAAAAAGCTTCGACATAATTAGAAAGTTGTTAAGTGGCAGAATAAGAGAATATATATTAAAATTAATAGCTTCCCTATACGCTAATAGAAAAAGGTCACCTTCATAATAGCAATATAAAAACTTTTCAAAATTCCTAGGAATAACTTCTATCAAAATATGTGGGAACCCATCTAGGATCTAATTACACATAAAAGTATTCCCCAGAGGCAGGGAGATTGCTTAAAAGGCCATTATAACAGTCCTGATGAGAAATGCTAGAGATCTGAATCAAAAAATGGGAAGTGGGCTGGTGGGACTACAAATTGGTACAGCCACTAGGGAAAACAGTATGGAGGTTACTCGAAAAACTAAGAATTGATCTACCATATGATCCAGCAATCCCTCTACTGGGTATTTACCCCAAAGACTTGAAAATTCATATCTGTAAAGATATTTGCACACCAATGTTCATAGCAGCATTATTCACAGTGGCCAGGCCATGGAAGCAACCAAAGTGTCCTATGATAAATGATTGGCTAAAGAAGCTGTGGTACATATATACGATGGAACATTATTCAGCCATAAGAAAAGATGAAATACTGCCATTTGCAACAACATGGATGGATCTTGAAATAATCATACTAAGTGAAATAAGCCTGACAGAAAAAGTTGAAAATCACATGATATCACTTATATGTGGGATATAAACCTAAAAACAACAAATGAACAGAACAAACAAACAGAATCTCATGGACATGAACTATAGACTACTGGTTACCAGAGGGTAGGAGGTGGGGAAGGAAGGGGGAGGTAGACGGGGTAAAGGAGGTCAAATATGGGGGGAGGAGAAGGGTGAAGTAGGTAAAGGGGATCTAATACATGGTAGCTGAAGACTATATGGACTTTGGGTGGTAAACACACAATAGAGTATACAGATGTCAAATTATAATGTATACCTGAAAATTATATAATTGTATTAACCAATCTTACCCCAATAAACTTAATTTAAAAAAATGGAAATGGGAATGCAGGGTGGAGAAAGATTCGTTTATTACTAGAATTAGTAGAGTGATCACATTGTAAGATATAAAAATGTTAAATCACTATACTGTACACCTAAAATTAATATAACTAATATTGCATACCAACTATACTTAAGTTAAAAAGATAATCATATTTTATAATCCATTTATAATGCTATTAATGTATTTTCTAATAATAAACCATTCTTGAATTACAAAAAAGGGCAGAATTCACAAGATTTGGTGACCAATTAAATGTATAGGACAAAGTGAAGGAAAAATCAAGGACTCCTAGATTTTTGGCTTGAGTAACTGAGAGGTAGCCTCATTTGAGTATTGTCAAAGTAGGAAGGTAGCTAGGGTAGGGATCAATAAGCTGTTTTCTGCTGTTGCTTAAGGATGTTTAAGAGACATTCAGGTGAGAGATCTAGAAGGTGATTAAAATACTGAATAAAACAGAAGAGAATCATGTCTAAGTTAGCTAAATTCTTTGTTTAATCAGTAAAAAAAAAAAGGCATTTAAGAGATTGATTTAATTCCTCTTTAAAAGAACCAACATCTTTAAGATTCTTCCTACCAACAAAAAAAGATTACACACAACAGGAATAGGATGCTGGGAAAGAGAATTTTGAATGTACTTTCCATTCTGCAAGAACTTCTAAAAAGAACTTAAAATTAACACCTGGCTTTCTGATGCCTACACTTGTAAATTTTATCTGTTAAGCTTCGGAAAACATTATCCTATAGATAAATTATAATAAATTTCTATTGTAAAAGAAATTATTAGTTGAATGTTTATTTTACATACCTGAAGATATTTCTAACATAGTTCATTTATCAGTCCATAAATGATAAAAGATAATAAATGATTATAGACAAAATATGTAAAAGAAATTATTAGTTGAATGTTTATTTTACATACCTGAAGATATTTCTAACATAGTTCATTTATCAGTCCATAAATGATAAAAGATAATAAATGATTATAGACAAAATATTAGATAAAACTAAAGATGTGGATGAAAACTGCATTTGCTCTATTGAAAATCTCATGTGGAAGTAAGGAAAAATTATGGCTCAGATTTTTACCTTCTTACAACGATTCAACATTGTGTTAGAAAACTGGATTCAACAGTTAAACCCAATCTTCTCTTCAAGAATATTGCTAATTTACAATTTGTGCAGTTAAAGCTCTTTCTAAAAGACAAAGAAATTGAAGATTACCTATCTTTGTACCAGAGGACCTGGAAATACATAGTGAAAGCCTGAGAACTAAAGTCAAGTAGTTCATTCAGCATTTTCTGATCTGTAGCAAACAGGAGGCAATTTTATGTGTATAAGTGTTTGCCTCTTGCTTAGCATTTAGAAATCTCTAGGTTCTGCAAATTAATCCTTTATGCGGTTCCTTTATGACTATTGTGATTTCTCAAATGAAAATTCCTAAAGTCTACTTTATTTTGTTATAAATTTGATATTCAATCACCTTGATTACTTTGGTCACATGCCATTTGGTTTCAGGAGTGTTAGCATAATAAAATTACAGAAAAATCTCTAGTGTACAGAATGGTCACAAAATGCTTATTCTGGTATACAGTAATATTTCTTTGGTTGTGAGCTAACTAGAAATTTGTTTTTCCTTTCGTTTGCCTTCAGTTGCTGTTAGAAATCTTTCCAAATGTATTAATCCACTTTCTTTCCTTAGTAGAACTGAATTCAGTCCAAAAATCCAATTTTATCTTTATTTTAGTTCAATTGTTACATAGTATGATGAATCCTTTCTGAACTCCCTTAGAGCCGTGTTTCTCAAATCATGCTCTTCCAGACTTCTTTAAGTTGAATTAGGATGCTATGCCAAAAAAATGAGTCTCGTGCAAAGATATGATGAAATTAAGGCAATGGATAGCACTTTGTCAAAATCAAAATTTATTAAATATATAGCATCAGCTACCTTTTACTGGTACTAGAATATGGAAAATGTATAAAAAATTCTACAATTAGTTAAATGTGACATAGCATTATTTCAGTGTTTTACAAAAAGCATCATGACTTTCAGGTGTTCCATTACCTGACAAGTTTAAAAATTATTATCTTTAACTGTGATCTTATTTTCTAAAATAAAAACTAAGAACCAATGGCCTGACAAAAGATTTTCTGATCTATGAATTTATATATGTCAATTTAAACTAAATTAAAACTAAAGGCATTAAAAGTAAACCATCCACCATCTTAGTACTAAGCCCCAAACCATCATAACCTATTCCTGTAGGTGAAGAAAGATTTGGGTCAACTTCTCTTGAGATTTCTGGTACATAAAAGTTAAATAAATACCCAAACCGGTTACAGAAACTGTAGTATCCTTTGAAAGCTTACATCTAACACATACAATGAAATGTAATTTTGCTATTCATAATTACAGAATTTATAAAAATGTATTAATTTATAGAGCAACACCAGTCTTGAGGGCCAGAAACTGGACACAAGTAAACCCTGTAATGTCTTTTATTTAAACCTGAAGATCTCCTGTACTTATATAGTCTCTATCAGAAACTTAAAATAGAGGTCCTTTCTGAAAGCAAGTCCTGCTCATCACTCTCCAACCTAAATCTCCGAGTACAGCTCGATCAAATTCTTTATACTCCTTGCCACCTCTATCCTTTGATTTTTCCAACTCCTCCCCAATCTATAGCATTACACTTTTCAAAGCCTGATTCAAATCGCTTATCTTCCATGAAGTTTTTTTTCCCCTCCGACACTCTAGCTCTTCTATGACCTCCAACAGTACTTCGAATTCGTAATTTTTGTTCATTACATAGCATCCTGCAAGTTCACCTTTCTGCTCACTCTAAAATGAAGACGAAAGCTGGAGCACTCAACTAACCTCCACAAATCCTAGCAAGGTGCTCAGCACACAGTAGGCACTCAAATAATATGGTCCCGGATTTGATGCAAATCAAGCACTGCTCTCCAATGCTGTAAAATGGAGTGGTTCCCAGCCCTATTAATTCCCAAAGGAGATGACCAACGGGTCCACTAGGCTCTGGAGACTACAAGTCCCAGCGGCCCGTGCGGGTCTGGCCCAGGTTACCTGGGCCCCCTGCTGTTTTCGTCCACAATGCTGGGCTCCAACCAAACAAAAAACTGGAGAGTTTGACAGGGAAGGGAAGGGTCGGCGGCCTTCAACAGGCAATACGACATTCACCTGGATGGACAGTGCACTTTGCTTATGTCTGGGCGGCGAAGGCAAGACGCTCCATTTGCCACGGACTAGGAGAGATCACCAACGGACCCGCACCGCGCCTGACGCTCGTCCCTCGCCCCACACCCGCCTCCAGCCGCGCGCTCGCTCCTCCAGGCTTGACGTCAAGGCGGTCCAGGAGCATGCGCGGTGCGGGCCCCTCAGCCAGATGGTCCGAGCGTGCGCGGAGCGTGCGTCTTCGGGAATTTGTGCGCTCTCTGCTTACCCGCTGCCTGGGCTTGTGGCTCGAGTTGAAGCGCTAGAGTCCGTCACTTCCATCCTCGTCTGTCTAACGTGCCTGGCGGGAGCCCCTGGCTTTGATCACCCGCCACCTCGGTGTGTGCCAGTGGCCACAGCTGAGCTGCCCGGAGTTTGTTCTGGAAGAGGCCTGAGAGCGGAGCGGTGTGGCCTGGGTCGTTCCGAGCCGCGTCCTACCTCTCGCGTCATGGTGAAGAAGAATAGTATCCCCAACGGGTGAGTATCGTCGGTGAGCTCCCTGGCTGGCTCGGGTCCTCGGCGACGGTCGGAGCTGCCAGATAAGCAGATATTCCTGGAGGAGGATGCTCCTTA